CCCCCAGCACAACCCAGCCCAGCCCCATCCCCCGCCGAGCGGCCGCGCCGCGGGTCGCCGCCCGCCACCCGGCAGGTTGTAAAGTCATTAACTCCCTCAGCCATGCCGGCCCGCGCTCCGGCGGCGGCTGCTCCTGCTACCGCCGCTGGTGGGCCGCCTCGCCGCCTCCTCCGCGGCGGCTGCAGCAGCAGCAGCGCGGCATGGCCGCCCCTCCCCGCCGCCCCCTCCGCCTCTTCCTCCCCCTCTTCCCCCTCCTTCTCCTCAGCGCCGCCGCCGCCGCCCCCCTCGGCGCTAAGGTAAGCGGCGGCGGTGGGCTCGCGGCGGCGGAGCCTTCCCTCTCTCCTTCCTTCCTTCCTTCCCTCCCTCCCTCCCTCCCCTCAGGGAGCCGCGGCCAGGAGGGGCGCTCCGAGCTGGCGGGCCGGTCCTGGCCGCTCCGGGCCTGCGCGGGGCAGGGGTAGGGAGCGGGTGGTCGCCTCGGGGCAGCGGCGGCCCCTCGTCCATCCCCGCAGGTTGGTGGTTCCTGCAGGGTATCGCCTGGACCCCGCTGCCCTCCCTCAGTCTTGAGGTGCTTGAAAAGGGGGTTTTGTCGTCTCCCCCCCCCCCCCGATTTACCCCGAGGACCAGACACTTTGCCCACACCCCAGCCGCCTGGCACTAACAAAAGAGCGGCGGGGGGGGGTGGGGGGTGGTGGCGAGGACGCCCGAGGAGGCTTCCCAGCATCACCAGAAGGACCGTGGGGGAGCAGGGCCTTTCCCTGGTTGGGGGTTTGCCCGAGGCTGCCCCCCACGTTCATCCCTAGCAGAGGGTTGACTCCAGTTTAGGGCTGAAAACGAACCGATTTTCCTCTTCCCTCTCCCTCCCTCCACCCCAGGCGTGGGTTTAGGCAGCTGCTTTCTCCGCTAACTGTGGGGTGCACGTCTGGGCATCGAAGCCCCACACTCCCCTCACCTCTGCTCTCCTCCACAAAGGACCTCCTCACCCTGGCCCTCCTCGTGGCACTTGTTTCACAGCAGCACTGAAACCCCTCTGCCAGTCCCCTTCTCCTTCCCAAGGCCTAGCCTGGGACAATCACCCCCATTATTGCGGCAGGGGAGGCAGAAATACCGGCTTCGCAGGGCTCCGGCTGTGCCTCTGCCTTCACGGGTCACTGCGTGCATTGTGGCTCGGCGCTCTCGTTTCACTGAGGGGAACCCGGCTGGATTTCTTTGCTGCTGAAGGGATTCTGCTCTGCTAAAGGAAGAGGGTTTTGGGTTGTGTTTCCCGCCCTACACACCCCTCAGGCTCCGTGGCTGGGGTGAAGCAATCTCACATGAGCTATCTTAAACACAGGGAAGACCAGACACCACAGCTTTACTGCAGATAACCCAGGTTTGAGGAGCAGTAGCATCTCCTGTTCTGGGGTTGTCTTAATTTTAAAGCTGAAGTGTCTCAGTTCCACTTTCTTTTTACCTTCACACACATCCGCAGCCTGTTCTGTTTACCCCTTAACTGTAGGGTTAAGTCAGAGAGAAGCTTCAGGCAGAGCAAGCTGGGTCAAGCTAAAGAGATGTGAAGTCCTTCCTTTAGGACTGACCTGGATGGAATCCTCCATCAACATGTGTACACAAGCCTTGGCCACTCATGGTTCTCCCTGCCCCCAGCAGCTGTGTTTGTATAGCACCTAAGATGAGGGCATCTGGGGCTGGGAGCCCTCCCCAGGACAAAAGCACACCAGCGCTGTTGCCAGGTCTGCCCCGAGGACTCTCTTACTCCAGGAGATCCCCACAGAGCACTCTGATCAAGGACTGCGTGGTGCGAGTTGGCCTGGCAGATGTGGTTGCTAGTATGGATTGCTGTCTCTGGTGCAAGGCAGTGCACAAAATGGTCCTTAGGGGATTAACTTCCCGTTCTTCTTGCTGTCCCGTTTTCTATGTATAACATGGTTATACAAAGAGTGTCACAGAAAGCCTCAGTCTGTAGACAGGGTAAGCATATTCCTTCCTGCATGGGGCTAACTGCATTCAATGTCTGTGAAAAACCTGATGATAGAGATGCCTCTCATGCACACTGCCTGTTACTCCCTTCTTCCCCTTCACAGATTTCCATCCTTTCTACTGGCTTGCCCCAGAATAATTGCTTTAATATCCCCCTTGAAGGGAATGACCTAACTGACTTGGATCAAGTATTTTGTAATGACGTACAGCACTTGCCTGTGAACTTTCTGTCATGGCAGGATTACAAACAGTGCTTGATAGTTCTCCACTGGCTTCTGTTCACCAGTTTTCTAATCTGCTTCTCATCTGCGCCTTATTATATGTCCAGATTTCTGTTACTTATCTGCTGCAATATCACGTCTTTAGCAAGCTACCATTTTTACCCGGATTAGTGTTCTTCCTGATCCTGTAAAAATTATTCTGCATTGCTCATTTTACCTCAGGATACCTTCCCCTCATGGAAAACTCCTTCTCAAATACTGTTTCAACTTTTCTAAGGAAAATTTGGTTTTGTGTCCACTTCCAACATTGAATCTCTCATACAAACTATCTAGTCTCTCCAAATAGGATAAAATAATGATGGGATGAGAAATAGCTTTACACAAACACCAATTCTTTTGTTAAACATCAAGGCATAATTACAAATGCTATTGTGTTTTTCAGGGCTGTGGTAGAGTCTGTCACCACAGCTTTAGTCAGAGAATGACATGGGGAACCCAAACCAGGGGAGTTGAACAAGATCATTCATTTTCAGATAATAATCTGACATCCATTCCAGGCATTGAGACATCTGAAGCTATTTAGTATTTCAGTTAAGTAGTGTGGTTTGCTGTAGAGAGAAGCCCTTAAGTAAAGGGATTGTGGAAATTTTTGGTAAAGGACATGCAGTTAATGGCCTCAGAAAAGGTCTGTGAAGAATTTATTTCATTTTCAGCTGCTGTTTCTAGTAGTCTTATAAGCTCAGACAGGGTTGAGCAGAACAGTTTACAACAGCTACTGTGCCCTTCAGTGGTGGGCCAGCCCTTAAGGCATGCTGGGCTGCAACAGAGAGCCTGCCCCCCCTCCAAGCTCCTCTATTAAGGGAACTAGACAGGCATGTTTGTGGTCTCTCTTCCCAGACAGCTTTTTTCCAGGACCCAGGCTCTAATGAATCTCAAGATTAGGCACAACAATAAGCAACCCAGGAGACTGGGCCACCGGCAGGGTAATTGCAGTTACTCCCAGGTTTCTGGGAAGCCCAGCGTTGCTCAGAGCTGATCCAGGGCATGACAGAGAGTCAGCGGAGAATTTATTTTATCCCTTTCAGCTCTTCAGAAAGACTGCCTGGAAATCTGATAGGATGTCAATCCAGGCCCACCCGTCTTTGCAGGGCTGAAGCATTTTGTTTGTGGCAGCCTTTGTTTGGCAGAGGGAAGCGGGGAAGCAGCTGCTGGGTTTTCGGTTAGACAGAAAAAGCTTTCAGTGATGCTGGCTTAGAGACTGATGTTTCTGTCATTGATATTGGCAAATCCGGAGACAGATATTTTATCCCGAAAAAGTTCCCTGCAGGTTGGGGTTCAAAGCTCTGCCCCCCCCCAAGAAGGGGACAGGAGGACAGCCCTCACCTACCCAGTGGCATGGCCTCCAGCATAGGTGCAGAGGCACAGAAATAACTTGGCTAGCCTCAGAGAGGAAGAACTGCAGCTGTATAATGACCCCATGCCAAGCCACAAACACCTCCAGGGAAATTCTTGCGGAGAACACCTGTCTGAACTGGAATGTGGTCTATATTTTCTACAGATGTAAATTCTAGGCCTGATATTTCTCATCACCTAAGGAATTGTAACAGACCCTCTTGGCTTCTTTAGCCAGAGCCCTCACCCAAGCCCAGGCAAGAGCCAGCCTTATAAAGACTGCACCTATGCGCATCTCCTGCTCTGGCGTTTCTAGCCTGCTCTGTTTCTGCGATTCTACAGCAGAGTGCAAGTTAGAGCAGCTCCAGCATCTCCTATAACCAGAAGAGTGCGAAAGAGTTGTTGTAGAGCCCCTTTGTTTTCTCCTTCTGCAAGGAAGAGGCGGGGGGGATTCACTCGGCCAAAAGGTAACTCTTGGGATTTGCTGAGGGGCTTGGGAAACTAAAGCTAGGAGCTAATCTAATCTGGAGCCTGTCCCACAGCCCTTAATCTATTATCTGGAAATTTGGAAAATGCAAGTATCTCTAATTAAAAACAAGAACCGTTTGTGTGTCATGGTATATGCAGATTTATTTCTGACAATATAATAAATTCAGCACAGATTGGAAACAGCTGCCCCAGCTCTAAGTACCTGAAGTTCCTCCTCCATGTCACCAGGCCTAGGACTCAGATGCAGTCATGCCATAAGTCTCACTGGCCAAGGGGACAGCTCAGCATTGTTCTTGCTTACACAAGGAAATAAGCACTCCTAGGCAAGGACTGGCAAGGGAGCTTGGTCATGGAAAACCTGAGAGCCAAATCAATCTACTTAAAAAGTGATTGATTCCTCCAGTGCAGAGAGGAGGCAGGAACAGGGCTTATGGATATAGGAGAACAAATTTTATTTAAAAAAAAAAAAAAAAAGGCTCTTTGACTAGCATTCTTCAATAAATCTTCATTTGGGCTTCTGTCATTCCTGAAAGTTGCAGTGCAGAGAGAAACGTATCCTATTCTAACCGTAAGAAAGAGGTGCACAAAGGCAGAGATGCTGATCTTTCCCAAACCTAAGCTCTGCCACCACATGCCAAGTCTCCTTGCATCCAGGCAAAACACCCAACAGCAGTAACCTTGAAAAGGAGCCTGCAACTTTCCACCACTCCAAATACACAAAATCTTTTTCATATCCAGGGGTAAGTCAGTAGAACAGGCTATTTTACTTCCCTTCGCTCATTTCCCTTCTGTCCCATCTCACCTATTTGGATTTTAAGATCTCTGGAGCAGGACTATCTTGTAGGTTACAGCTAACAGGTTTTTATTGCCACCTGGGGAAAAGCTATTTAAATATTGCAGCTTTTGGTCAACTTGCTTTCCCTCCAGGCAGTCCATGCGCCTCATATAACTACTCAGTGAAGTGGTAGGACACCAGCTTTGATTATTACCTCAGCTATGGGAGAATCTGTATTGCGCTGAGCTCTCCGCACAGACACCAGATAAATCATTGGCATTCTCCTTCCTGGAAGTTGTGAAGAGCTCTTCCACCACAGGCCTTGAGATGCTTGTCACAGGCCTTGAGATGCTTATCACAGAGAAGTATAGAAGGGGTCAGGGAAAGATTTTAGCTGAACATACCTTACAATAAGAGACCTTTGGTTTCTTTCCTTTGTAAATGTGGAAGCTACATAGTCAGCATTTCCATTTACAGTCTGCTAATATGCAGTCAGACAAGAATTCTCGTAGGAAATAGGTTGAGATGATCATTTGGAAGAAGAGAAAAAGGTATTTTTGAAAACGTGTCTGTTTCTTTTAAATTTTGGGTTTCTCTTGAGCAACTCAGCTGCTGGCCACAGCATTTGGTCCCTGTCAGGCAAGTCAGCTCCAACCAGAACATCTAAGTACAGCAAAGAGTTTTGTTGTATTGTTTTTGAAATCAACTATTGTAATCACTAGAGAGTAAAGCATCAGGTAACGTGCTGCTTTTTTGCAGCAGAGTAGGTTACTTTCAACACGCTCTGGCTATCACCAAGAGGCAGCACTATGTGCATTTCAACAACACTAAATTACAACTTAAAAACATTTGCATAAAACCAGCTGCATCTCCTCTGCCCAGAGGATGTTCTGTTGGCACACAGTCTAGAAACAACAAGTTTTCAAGCGGGAATTGCACTACAAGATGAAGAACACTTTGGCTTTCTTACACCATGAAAGAGCATAAAGCCAAGAGACAGTCAACCAAAATAGTGAACAGAGCACATTTAGTGATGAGCAAACCCTGATGAGTTTTCTTTCACATCCATCAATTATGCATTGCAGACCAGTTCTTTGCAACAGGACTATCGGCCACTGCCACAAACCAGCAGGTTTTGCTAATAGTAGCACTGATACAACTTCCCTGAGCCCTTACTTTAACATATTTTACATGCACAGAAATTATTCATCTTATTCTACTAAGACTGAAACACCATCACCATTTTCAGCTGGATAAATCACTTCCAGTCACTGTCTTGTGTTAAACTCATCGCTGCATTCAACACTACTCACAGCTGTATTTCAGTAAACAGCAAATTAGTTTCTGCACAGGCTAGTTTGCCAAAATCGCTAGGAGCTTTTAGACCATCAGACACTAAGCAGGAAAATACTGCAAGTCAAAAAAAAAACCCCAGCTAAAACACAGAATCCCTTACCTGCTGGGAACGGGGGAGGCACAGCCAACAGCAGCCTGCTGCACTGACCACATTGGGGCCAAAAGACTTCAGGTTTGCCAAATTTAAAGGCTCAGCCCCAGCAAGGCATGCTGGGAGAGGGAGCAACCCTCCTCTGAGCATAGTGGGGTGCGTGGGGAGAGGGGACAACAGCAATTGCAGGAGGCTCTGGTTCTGAAGCACTCTTGGAAATTACTTTTGTGAGGGTTGGAGGGTGAGGAGCTTGGATCTCAGCTGACTTAGTCACAAAGAGAAGTTTATTCATTGAAAGGCAGCTCCAGCGAGTGACAGATGCGTACCCGCAGCTTCCCTGCCAGCAGGCCTCCGCACGGCCAAGCGCCGCAGCTCTTCCTCTTCTCTCCTGACTGCGCGTCAGACCCGGGCGGGCAGTGTTAGCTGTGGTCTGCTGTTCTATCTGACCCGGCCTGGGAGTGATGCTGTGGGGTCAGGCTGCAGCTGGCGTTACTGTCACGCATGTCCAGCCTGACAGCCTTTCTCCGCATCATGTCATGAGATCCCAGAGGCATCTTCCTTCCCATGCATGACTCAGTCTTGGAGGGACAATATGAATTTTGAGATGTGTGAGCCCGGTGTGGCTCCATAGGGGCCTGATCCTGCCACACTTGTCCCAGTGCTGCCCATTTAGAAGGCATCCAGGTAACACGGTCTATGGGGGAGCTGATTTTGGAAGGCCCTTCTCTGCCTGGGGCAGTGAAGAGCCAGGTTCTCCAGCTAACCATGCTCTGTTTCTGTCAGGACAGTAGTGAGGCAGCAGATGGAGCTGGCCCCTGGGATGAAGAAGTCACCAAGTGGTGGGGAGAGTGGAGCTCCTGGTCCACCTGCTCCCGGTCCTGTGGGGGAGGCGTGATGTCCCGGGAGAGGCACTGCTTGCGACAGAGGTGAGTCATGTCCCAGCCTGAACGCTTGGCCAGGTCTCCAGTGGCAGAGGCGAAATGGTGAGCCCCCGACCTGCATTTTGGGGCCAAACCTCCTGGGTTTGCAGGGTCGGCCGTTCCCTCTTCTGTGGCCTCTCAGAAAGGAAGATGGCTGTTGCCTGTGGGGTAGGGGGTTAGCAGGTAGCAGTGGGGAGGGCTGACAAGGGAGAAGCACGCTACAGTGGGACAGGTGACAGGCCCCCTGAACACATCATGCACTCATCCTGGCTTGTCTGATGGGGAGCAAGGGGTTGGTCCCCTTTTGGGGTCTGTGGGAGACGTGAAGATGGCAGGGTTGAGGGCTGGAGAAGGCTAGTTCTATTCCTCTTCCCCTTTCCTTCGCAAACCCTCGCTTACTGTGGCAGCTGTGACTAACCTAACCCTGATTTGTAGCCAGTTCCTGTGCTAAGGATGTGGGTACATATTCCCAGACATCGTATGGGGACTTGATTTACTCCTGGCAGCAGCCAGCTCAGCCACGTCTCAGCAATTTCCCCTCTTTATTCACTGCAGAGCTTGCAAGTTTTTTTCCCCTCTGTCATTTATCTGGCTGTCACCTGCCAGCATCTCCATTTGTCCCCTACAGCCACATTTGTCCCCTGCAGCTGCTACAGTCCTGGTATCAGTTGGGCTGGGTTTGTGGGAGTGGGGAGAGCTGGGGAGCTTCAGCTGCCTGAACTCCCGCTGTCCCCTCAGGGTCACCTTGCCACCAAGCCCTCCTCCTCCAGCACCTCACTAACCTGCTACTCCAGGCTCCTGGGATGTTAATGAGAGCTGGCATCCTGCAGCACAGCAAGCCCACGCAGGCTGCCCACCCCACACGCGGCCCCTTTCTCTTCTGCATGAATGCACTCCTGAGTGGAGGAAGCTCAAGTTAGGGCCCTCAACCCGCTCTCCCTCCTGCAGCAGAAAACTTTTTATTTGGGCTGGTTGGCAGCACGGTGAGGGTCCAGTTGTGCTGCAGTACCTTTCATCTGGATGTGGCCTCCCCACTAACTGGGCTTGCCAGTGTCTCTGCCACTGCTCCACCTCCCCAGCATACCATGGCCATCATGTGAGAGCAATGGGAAACAGAGGGCAGGAGGGAACGTAGGGCTGTCCCATACCCCAGGCAGCCAGAGCAGCCCTTCTGCCCTTTGCCTGCTGCCAGAAGAGAGATTTTTCTCTCCATTTGACATCTGCTCTATCCTTGACTCCACAGCTGGGGAGGAGAGGCCTTTGCTGTGGCATTCTACTCCAGGGATCAAGTCTGAATTAAAAAAAAAAAAAGCCCAACATAAAATCCAGCCAAAAGGTTTCTGCAGCTTTAAGGAGAATGGCTTAAGTGTGAGCCAGGTATGCCCATGAAACAATTTCTGCCCGAGTCTGCAGGCAGCCTCTGCTTCAGATTAAAGGGATGGCAGTTTTCAAGCTTTTTGGTGCAAATTTAGGCTTTATGTACATCATGTAAAGCATTGCTCTAGAGGGACAGCTGCAGTACTTCTAGCCAGTCCAGCTTGAACATGCCTACAAGGTTCTTCATTACACAGTGCATCCTAAGTTCCCAGTGCCGTCAACACATTGTCTGCTGCTGATGTTTACATGGACCACATTGCCTTAATCTGTGGTCTTGGCCATTCTCCATACATCTTCCCGGCTTTCAAGAATTTTTTCACCCTTGCATCAGTCAAGGACTCCAGTATCCCCTGGGTAACTCGTGCTGGCCAGAGCTAAAGCATCAAGTGTTAAGAAATTCCCGTTGGTTTAGTCCATCATCTGCACGAAGCCTTTCCTGCTAATCTTTTAAGGTGGCCAGTCCCCCTGAGAGGTGCCATCTCTATGCCTACTGCACAGTGAATCCTGAAATCAAATCCTCTGGTCACTGCAAATCCTAGGTGCTTCCATGGGAGTGATGGATCACCAGGGTCTATTGTCCTTTTGTCACATCAACCCTTTTGGAGCTCAGAGGTTAAGGGACACAGGGGTGGTGATACTGCAGTTGCTCCCCATCTGCTCAACCTGCCCCAAAACAAGAGCAGACTAAAATCACCGTCCACCTAAAAGCACTGAAAATGTGTTTTAGAGATGTTGGCTAGTCTAGGTCCAGTAAGCTTTGCTCCGATACAATGCCTGCCTTGCTTCTCCCCCTTAAGTCAGGCCTGACTTCTCTATCATCCTCAATACCTTAGTACTTCACAGACCTCCAGTTCATTTTCTTTCTCCTTTGCAGGCTTCAGATGCCCCAGGGAACAAACAGCACCATGTGTGCTGGTCAAGCCAAGCACTACCAACTGTGCCAGCAGCAGGTGAGAACAACTTCCAGTACTGACTGGTCCTTACTGGGGCATGTGGGACTGAGGGGAGGGGGAATCACAATTGGAGCTGCAAGAGCACCAACACTCAGGGTGCGACTGGTCCGTCAGAGGAGTGCAGACAAGGGGTACGATACACTCCTAGGGTGGTTGACGGTGATTGCCTTTGAAGATGTGGGAGGTGGTCTCTACTCTCTGGGACTGGGAGGTGGGGGAAAAGGATATAAAAACGTATTTGTTGTGGGGTGGGAGGAGGGACGAAGTTTTTCCAGTATGCTTTTCCCTTTGCTGGAAGTAATTTTTGCAAGACTGTTAAATACAGCTGTTTGAGGGACCCTTGGCAATGGAGGCCTGGCCTTTCTGCCTGTATTACGGCACCTCAGAATCCATCACTGATTCCTTCCAGGGTGGACAGGGCATCCTCCAAGGATGCAGCAGGGACAAGCAGGTGTCACAACCATGGCTGTAACATAGGGAGCTTTTGATCACATTTATTCCCTCCATAGCCCTGCCCAGCCAACACAGCAAGCTTCAAACAGCAGCAGTGCTCCAGTTTCAATGCCAAAGCCTTTGGGAAGCGCTACTACCACTGGATGCCCCTCTATCCAGGTGGGTTTTCACAGCTTCACACAAAGGATCAGGGTGAGAAAACACCCACAGGAACTTCTCAGACACAGAAGGGGAAGGTCCCAGGGGACAAGGGATGGATGCTCCTGGCTGGTCTGGAAGTGGTCCCCTATGCTCCCTGCTTTGGAGAAATCATTCCCTGTCTCTTCACAGAAACGCTCCAGCCAGCCAGGCCTCCTCTCTCACCACATTGCTCCTGTTTTGGATCCTACATCAGCAAGCACTGGTGGGCAGACAGGACACAGGCTTCTCTGAGTTGTCTTGGCTAACCAGCAGTCATCTTGGCAGAGTGGGTGTTCACGCTCTTTGTGCCTTCTACCATTTTGGCTGCCTCCTGTCACCCAGCATGCTTCCCACTGGGTTGGTGGTGGGTTGTTCTGAACAGGATACCCATCCGTTTCCTGCACAGGCGAGACAGATTGCTTCACTTGGGTTGTCAGTTGTCCCTTGAGGCCAGATTGAGCTCACCTAAGATATTAACCTCTTTCCATTAACTGCCAAGGGGACGTAGAACACCTGCACCTCTAGCTTCAGTTGCGCAGCTGAATGGGGTGTAGCTGGCCACAGCCCCACACATTCAGTACCCCTCTTGCAGGTCTTGCTCGCTCTGGTGTATTTATGTGTGGCCTGGGATCTGCTGATGCAGATTCCTATGGCTGGCACAGGGGATGTCACCACAAAGGGGAGAGGGTATGGCAAGGAAGAGGGTTTGCCAGCAAGAAGTATTTCTGCTAGGCATGGTCTCCAGCTGCAGCCTCATACCATGACCCATTTGCTGCTACAAAATCTGTAGCCTTGAGGTCTCATCTCAAGCAGCAAGAACATCCAAGGTGACATCAAACCATCAGTATGGATAAGAGGAAAGTCCCCTTCCTCGCTGCCCATCTCTGAGCACCTTGACCTGCCTGGTGACTTTCTGCCTCTGTCCCTTCAGATGACTACACCAGTATCTCCAACAAGCCATGTGACCTCCAATGCACCACCCGGAGTGGCGAGAGGCAGCTGATGGCCCGAGCACAGGATGGTACCTCCTGCAAGGACAGGACCTATCAAGGGGTCTGCATCAATGGGAAGTGTGAGGTGAGGCTCTGGGAGGAAGCACTACAGAAAGTGGGAGTGTAAGTGCATGACTGGACCTCCTGGTCATCGCAAGGCCAGGGGTTCCACCAGGGAATTGAAACCGAGGCCTGGCACGGAGTAATTAATTCACTCTTGAGTGCCTGTGGGCTAGAGGAGAGCAGAGAGGTTCACACAAAGGGAATTATATACATCCACATGTGCCCACTGAGTGACAGCACTTCCAGCACAGAGAAGACTAGAATTGTAGGTTTGTTTACATAGTCATCCAATTAAAAAAAAAAAAATTTAAAAATCTTCCTTTTGATTTTTCACCTCATGCAGCAAGGATGAAGGGTGGTTGTATATAGCGTTACAGAGAGGTGCCTTACAACCTCAGAAAGGCCTGCCCTTGATACAACATCTGGAGAGTGATGTTGTATGTCATTATTTCAGTGAGAAGGATTGGCCTAAATACAAAGACAGAAGGAACCGAAGCAGCTTACCTGAACCTTACTCCATTCACCTACATGCCCAAGCCCCTGCCCCAGGTTCAGGAGCACAATGTAGATGGTCACAAATTACACAGGTGAATTTCTGCTGCTGTTTGGAGTCATTCATTACTCCACTCCAAGCAAACCTACATTCTTCCCGACCCCTGCCGAGAACCTCACCAAAAAAGCATGATCACATTTCCTTGAAAAGACCCTGACATAAGCAGGCCCCAGGAAACCCTCTCTTGTTTTCTTCTTTACAGCCAGTTGGGTGCGATGGGAGCCTGTACTCACCCCGGACGATGGACAGATGCAGGGTGTGTGGAGGGGACGGCAGCACTTGCCACCGTGTCTCGGGCAGCTTCCGAAAGGCAATCTCACAGATAGGTACTCCCTGCTACCACAGTCCAGAGACTTCACCTGCTACTTCTTACCACCAACTGGCATGAAGGGTGACTGGCTTGAATGTGGGTAGGAGTTTCCCAGCTGCTTGGTGGAAAGAGCTGAAGAGTGCCACCCCTGTTTAAATGCCTGTATCTTGTCCTTTTCACTTAATCATCAGAGAAGATTGGTTTGATGTGCTGTATATCAAAAGCTGTATATTAGGCTGGTAAGGTTTCTCTTCACCTCTTTACAATAGGAAGCAGCTGGGGATCTATTTGTTCCTATTGATTTTGGCATCTTGCCCACCTCAGATAATGTGAAGAGATCAATGAATCTTCTTTTATTTGTGCTATGTGTTCATTTGAAACTTAAGCTCCTACAATGAGGGTCACAGCATTTGTTTCAGCCTGCACTGGGTCTCCTGCTTTCCCCAGTCCTACGGCTGGCACAGCTGAGGGACAGTCCCTCTGAAACTGGGCTGAGATTCATCCATTGCAACCTCATGGCCCATTCCTCTACCCACAGAAGGAATAGACTGTGGTATGCTCATTAGTAATTAATTAACTGTGGTTCGAGGATGTTTTGGAACATAATTTCACACTGTTGTTGTTTCACTAGCCTGCCTCACTCTCTACAGACACCAGACTAGAAAAGCACTCCGGCCTCTTTCCAGAGCAGGGGTAATGGTGCTAACCCTTCTAGCAGTACAGGTACAGTTTTGGCCTCCCATTACAGTCCTCATAAAAATCTTACAGAACGGACAAGACCTGCATTTCTAGCAGGAAAGACAAGCTGCCAAACCACACAACTTTAAAGGGGAGGAAATAAGAAAGCTCTTAAAGGTCAATTTTTATGCTACTCCCGAGACAAATTCTATTGAGTCAGGAGCTGAGGGGGACCTGTGGTCTTTTCTATCCTCTGTTCAGCATCAGCCCTGATCACTAGTAAGCTTTTTCCGTGCTCTTGCCAGAAAGAGCTTGAGAGGACATTCATCCACACACCTAAAGCCAGGCTGTTATACTTGTGCAGTTCCTTCCTGATGCCAAACTCAGCAGTGCTCAGACTGAGCCTGAGAGACCTGTAATGGTGATCTGTAATGGGACTTCAGAGAGGAGCTGGGATTAGAGCTCACAGGCTGGTGCAACATGCATTTATGTCCTTAGTGTCCTGCCCCTGAAGCGCAGCGCTGCCCTCCTATATACATACTTGTCCAACAAGCTGCTTTTCTTACCCAGACCTTTTTATTCTGTCCTCAGGGTTTCCTCACCCTCTGTTCTGTTCCTCAGGTTATGTGTTCATCACCAACATCCCTGCCGGTGCCATGGACATCCTCATCATCGAGCGCAGGAAAACAGAAAACATCCTAGGTAAGCAGAGGAGCCGGATGGATGTGGAGATCCCAGTTCAGCTGCCTGGGAGGAGGGCTCTGTGCACTCCCATCTGTGCTGCGAGAGAGCTATCTGTGAGCATTTCCTCCAGGGTAGCACAGGGGCACTTCATCTCTCCATAAGCCAAGGCTACGGCATCTCCAGCAGCTAGCAGCAGGAGGGACCTGTGGAAACTAAGCTCACTATGGGCGGTCGCTGTTGTGAAGACATTTGTGCTCTTGTTGGAGAGGGAAATGAAAGCAGCAGGCATCGAACACCGCTGATCTGACCTGAGCAGAAGATGAATGCTGGAGGGCCTGCGGTTCTTTTTCTATCAGGCTTTTTTCAGTCACGAGCTCTTTACTCTCCTCAGTGCCAGTGCAGCCTCAGTGTTCTGCACAGAGTATAACATTTATCCCTTTTCTCTCTCTCTTTGAAGCACTCGCAGATGAATCCGGGCATTTCTTCTTCAACGGCAACTCTGCCATTGACAACCCCCAGAACTTCAGGGTAGCTGGCACGATCTTCAAGTACCGGAGGCCCTCGAGCCTGAACTCAGATGGGCTGGAGTATATCATAGCTCATGGGCCCACTAACCAGTCTCTGAATGCCATGGTATGTGAGGAGCTAGTTTTAGGCTTCCCTGTCTTGTCTGTCCCAAAATTGTAAACCTCCCTCAGACAAAGGGAATATTAACCTGGTTCCCAAGCCAAACCTGAGTGTGTAGGTGGCTGAGGAAGCCAGATGCTGTCTTAGGAGGTTTCCTCGGGTTTATGAGGATGCTGTCTTCTCTTAACATCCATCACAAAATGGACGTGGCTAGAAAAGGTCTCTGGGAAATATATGTCCTTAAAATGAAAAGGGTTTTGTTTTCTTTCTCTGTTTCCTCCAGTACTATAACTTTAATGGGAAAATGCCACACATAACTTACGACTACACTGTACCACGGATACCACCTGTCCAAACTGCAGCCCCTGTTGTAGACAGACCTCTGTATCATCACCTACCAGAGACCAGCCAGAACCATCCCATTCCAGCCAACTCCAGAGCTGCCCAGGACTTCAATGCCACGTGGCTCTCCCTGTCACCACATGACACCAGTGAACAGCTTCCTCTAAGAGAAGGGCATGAAGATTTAGGTTTTGGCCACCCACACTTCTTACAAACCAACTCCACCAGTCAGACTCAGGACTGGGGCTGGGAACAAGGTGAAGAGAAGGAGAAGTACGACTTCCAGATAAGACAGGTCTACCATGCAAACACAGGAGAGGAAGAGGATGAGGAAGCAGCAGCAGTTGGAGAAACAGAGTTGGGTTGGTTGCTTTGTTTTTCCTTCTCTCTCATTTTGTTCGTTGAAAGTGGACATCCCACATCGGTTTTCTTGAAATCTAAGGTGGCTTTACCGTCAGGGCGGACAGGAGGGAATGCTGATTAATAGTAGGGTGGAGACTGTGAGGAAGCAGCACGGGCCAGTAGCTCTGTAAGGGCAGGGGAGCTGGGAGAGGGTGGCCACGATACAGATCAGGCAGTGCCCTCTCAGGCAGGGCAGTCCCATGGCACCCGAGCTTGGCAAGCAGGGTAGTGAAGGCAACAGTCCAGTGATCATCGACTGAAAGCAAGGTGACGTCAAATCTGAGATCCATCTGGGAAAGCCAAACAACAATTCAGCAACAAAGTACACCTGCGACATTGCTCAGGCCAGGACTGAAGGCCCAGGCCTGAGCTTAAATGGAGCTCCAGAGCAATGGGCAGAGAGTGTGTGTGAGGTTGGTCAGGGCAATTAAGGCCTGTTGGTGCACCCTGGTAGCAATTTATGATTCTGAGGCCAAATACTGAATGGGTTTTGCCTTGTTAAATACCACACGCTGAAGTATAAGCCATCCAATATAGTTAAAGCATCCCTGTATTTTTCTTCCAGCTCTCAGGTTCAATCAAATTTCCATCAGCACAGCTGTACCCTACAGCATGAGGAGATCCGAGCTCTCGGAGAACAGCCGCATAGCACCCTCCAGGCTTCGTCTCTTCAGGCGACTGTGTCACCGAGACCCGCACAACACTGCCTTCTGTAGGGAGTTGCAGCACCTGGCAGCCAGGCTGGCCCCAAGGAACTCCACGGCAGGGCTATGGACCGAGACAGCTGCCCGGTGGCCACAGGGCCTCCACAAAGCGCCGGCGCATAAGAACTCACTGGAGGACTTGAAGGTGGAGACATTTGCTGGGAGTCAGGGCGAAGCGGCCAACTACAGCATGATGGCATCTGTGGAGAGCCCTCTGCTAGGTGCCGGCCCAACTGTGGACATCAGCCAGGGAGAGCCTCTGCAAGCCCCTGGCACTGAAAGGTGGCACTTGATTTCCTGGGCAAAACAGGAGCATGGTTATCTGGGGAGGGAGGGTCAAGCCAATCCTCTGGTAGTCTCACTGCTGTCCTCGATGTCCCTATTCACCAGTATCTATCCATGGCAGCTGCTGTAGATGCTTGACGAATGGTGTCCTCCAAAGACTGATTGTCACAGCTGGCCTGACATGGAGCTCCCAGAACATATTTCAGGTCCGCCTGCCTCTAAGGGATCCATTTAAATGGGTGCTGAAGGACCTGCGAGGCCAACACTGATGTGATTGTAAAGAAGGCCAGGAGTCTATAGCATGTCACATACACACACTTACCACCACATCATGGCCCTTCTGTCCCATTCCTCTGGGCACATAAGCTTCTGTAACTTCAGTAAACATTTGGCAGGAGACTGAGGGCCAACTTTTAAACATTACTGGCAAGCCACATGTGAACTCTCCCCACCACATTACATGATGCTAAGAGGGACCTTGTTTGAGCTCCCCTTTCCAACTTAACATCATACCTCTCGAGGTGATAGCGTGACTGAAGCTGAGGGCACCCGCATGGTCGAAAGACCATAATATACAGAAGACTCACTGTGAATGATGCCTCCTCTCAGAGGGATGTTCATCCACAGCTATCCACAACCTTGCTAGTTGAATTCAGAAGGTGGATCAAGGCTTTACACTCTCTGTTCATCAGTGGTCCATCTTGCCCAAGGTGGGGGAGATGGAGAGCAGAAACACTGGGTTTCTTCCCATCTTCAAAGACAGCAAGCAGGAATTTCACTATTTTATGTTTACAGCGATTTTTCATTTTTAGCTCACGCCACCTCCTTTTTCCACAGCAATGAGTTTGATGTGAGCCCCATGGGCCATGATGACATCAGCTTGGCTGACATGTATCGGTGGAAAGTCTCAGCTTATGCCCCCTGCAGCTCCACGTGCACTTCAGGTAGGTTTGGCTTCAAGTGCCTGATGATACGAGGTCCTTTTTGGCTGTTGATGGAGAGAATACTGGTATTTTTTAGAATGGCAGGTAGAGTTTCAGATGCAGTGAGCACTCCAGTAATTTAATCATGGTGGGAGGAGGCTTTTGGATCTGATGGAGCCCAACCAAGAGATGGTCTTGATTGCCCAGCAGGTATCAGCACCTCATATGCTATGTGTGTCCGGTACGATGGAGTGGAAGTGGATGAAACGTACTGCGATGCCCTAATGCGACCAGAACCTACTCATGAATTTTGCACAGGGAGAGATTGCCAGCCTAGGTGAGTGGAAATGACATCAGCTGTCCACGGGGACAGCATACCTTGGTAAGGATCATTTTCTGCTCAAAGTATACAGCCATTTTTGGGCTGGAGGATATGCTTAAGCAGCTAAGCCCTTGTATCCCCTCGTAAGCAAAAAGAGGGAAGGAATTTGCTATCTAAGTTGCCTGCTAAGGGCAAAGTTGGCTTTCAAGACCAGCATCGCTTTAACACAAGGCATATACGTGATGAGGAGATTCATAGCAGCAGCTACTGGGCGAGGGAGTCCCAGGCGTGCAGGCACTCCCCAGCCACCCTATGTCCCTTGTTCCCCTTACCTGGGTTTTCCTTTGTGCTTTCTCTCCCGGGGACTGCTCATGGAGGTGGGAGACCAGCCGGTGGAGTGAATGCTCCAGGACCTGTGGTGAGGGCTATCAGTACCGCACTGTGCGCTGCTGGAAGATGCTGGCTCCAGGCTTTGACAGCTCTGTTTATGATGATCTCTGTGAGTCAGCTGGGCTGGCCAGGCCAATGGAGAGGAAAGCCTGCAAGAACAAGGCCTGTGGGCCCCAGTGGGAGCTCTCTGAGTGGTCCGAGGTAGGCAGCAGGGGAGCTTTGCTCCCAGAGGTAAGCAGCTGGGGCTGGGCTGGGGCCTGGAGGAAGGTGGCTGGCAGATGTTGGGTGCTGAGGAAGCCCCTGGCCAACTGCATCCTGGGGAAACAGACTGCCTTTACCCGTAGGTCCCCTGTTCTGGCACTGCCCAGCAAACAAAGGCCATTGCAAAACATTTTTTCGAAGGTCACTTCTCAAGCAGGATGTTGACCAAACAAAAGACCTGTCAGCAAGAAGCTTTGCCTCCCTCTTCCAGAGGATCTAACTAAGGGTGAATGGGGAAACAGTAGTTTGGAGATACAGAGAAGTGAAAACCCAACTGAAATCCCTTAGATTGACTTTCTACAGCCTGCTTGGGACTGGGCCAGTGGCCCAGTGACTTTGACCAGCAGTCCAGGCATCAGCATCTTGGAGCATTGGAGCTCTAGGACCCAGAGTAAATAAGTAGCAGAGATAGAGACGGACCCACCTTTTTCTGTAACCTGCTGGGGCCCTTCCCCTCTCACCTAGTGCAGCAGGGGGAAAACAGGAGGAGGCATAGCTGCCTCCCTCGCCTTTGCTTGTCCCCCTTGTTCTCTGCTGCTGAGCCCCGGGGCTGACTCTGTATGGCCATTGCAGTGTTTGGCCCGGTGCGGCACGCAGGGGACAATGAAGCGGGAGGTGCGCTGCTCGGTGGAAGCACCCCTCTGCGACGAGTCCCGGAAGCCCAGCAGCGAGAAGGTGTGCACAGGCCCACCCTGCGACCGCCGCTGGACTGCTTCGGATTGGGGCCCGGTGAGTCCAGAGCGTCTGCTTCTCTTTGCACACAATGCCGGGGGTGCAGGGCTGGCGGGAGGGAGCAGGTGGGCAGTCATGCTACTGCTCTCTTGTGTCTTTCTTCTGGCAGAGGCTAAGCTGAAGAAAGTAGAATAATCCATATTTTTGCCTCTCTGTGCTGTAAATTTTGGTTAGCTGTGAGGTGAGCTTAATTCAATAATCTGGGAAGCTCACAGCACCTGGAGGATGGAAGCCCCTGATGAGATGTACCTGTAAAGACCTTTGGGATCCAGTGCCACAGTCCCAGTGACAGGGCTAGGCTCTGGACTCAGGTCTCCTCACATCACCGACCCTGACCCCTCCTTTCCTGCTTTCTGATGTGTCTAAATGCCCTTTATTCCTCCAAGTGCTCAGGTTCGTGTGGTGAGGGACGCATGAGCCGCTTCATCGCATGTCGCAACCTGGAGGGCAAGGTGATCTCCAACTCGCAGTGTGACCCAGCCACCAAGCCCCTGGCTGTCCATCCGTGTGGAGACAAGAACTGCCCCGCACACTGGGTGGAGCAGGAGTGGGACCAGGTAAAGCCAAGCCCAGCCCTGTGTCCTCAGCCCTCCTTTCCACCCCAATATTCCACAGGAGATGGTGGGAGCCTGGCTCCCTTGGCAGAGCAAGGTTGTGTGCTGCAACCTCCAGCCATGGAGCTGTACCCTTGTCCTAGTTCCTTTTAGAAAGGGAGAAGGAATAATGAATACCCCAGCTTGTCCGTGCCCATCCCCTGTAGACCACCCCAAAGTTTGTGGCATTTGTTGCCTTCCCAGGGACTTCCATTGGAGGGCAGCAGCGTCCTAAGGAAATCCTCCTCCTCTCCCACCTCTGGCTGCTAGGTGGCAGTTGCAGGCACCTCAGCAGAGCTCTTTGTCCAGAATGTGCACTCACCCCCCAAGATTTTGGTTCCACCACTGAAGAGAAAGCCACAACAAAACCAGCTTCATCTCTGTTAAATAATAGCCAGAGGTAAACCTGAACCAGAGCCCAGATCCCTGCCCTAGAAGTCACATCCAGGCCATGACTCTGTACTTGCTTCACAACTTAAGAGTCCAGGAAACACAGTCCAGGTGCCCCATTCTACCAAACAATCACCAGTCTACTTACTCCCCTTCTGTTGCTCAAGGCCTAGAGGCTTCAGGCGTCCCAATACAAGCTGATGCAAATCCCAGAGCACCCAGAGGAATGCATTGAGTCATTTGTCAGGTTTGGGCTTTGTCTTTAAAGTCTTGAGCAAAATAGGGATTCACAAAGCACTAAGGCAGAAGATTTCTAGGGAACCAGAGAAGCAGCCAAGCCCCACCCGCCCCAACCATAGCTAAACCTCTATTTTCATTTTGCTGCCCTTTATAGCTGTTGTCTACATTCAGCTGAGTCTCCCTCCAGCACTGGTAACAAGCACAAACTGGTTAAACATGGGGACCCATGGCAGTCCCGCAACCCTCTCTTGCTCTGGCCTAGGGTGTGAGTCTCACACAGTACTGCAGTGCAGTTTTTCAGCTGTGTCCAGGCTATTAAACTCACCTGAACTCTGAAAGACCGGCTGAGCTCCCCACCTTTGTCTGTGCCAGCTTCTTTGCCTTTGCTGTGTTCTCTCAGCTGATCAGCTCTAAGTTCACAGGATGACTAAGGGCAAATGCAAGCCAGCTGTGCTGGCCCTGCCATGGTGAAGAAGGGCACAAAGCAATGAAATCTCAAACTGGCAACTGTCTCCATAGGCATCAGAGAGCATAGCTGAGCTAGAATCAGATCCTGGCTCCTACGGCTTCTCTTGGTGGTGTTCTGAGAGAGTGAATTCCCCCAGCTAAGCCTGCATAGCTTTGGGCACAGCAGTACTTGTCCACGCAAATCACCTGCAGTGCACCAGTTTGGTCCCCTTGGGCCCACGCAAAGCTTGTCAGTACTCCAAGATGTAGGTTGCTACATGAATACACTACATGGTTTTTGAGAACATAGATATACATAAAATAAGACAGAAACAGCTTTTTGTAGTCTTACCTTGACTGCTCCGGGTCCCTTGTGGTAGCTACTCTCCAGGCCAGCCAAGGTGAATTCGGCATTCCCAGTGCTAGTGCTAGCTAAACACTAATTACCAGCTTCTGTCCTCACTCGCTAAGAAATTCAGCTCCTTTGCAGACACCCATTGCTCCTCTGACCTGGGCAGCACTACCTCCGTTAGACTGGTGTTAGTACAAGCATAACCTTGCTTCTGAGCGGGATGCCATCTTACTTGAAGCTCTAGAGCTGACAAGCATCATTTGTTACCTGGCTGTTATGTTCTCTTTCCCAGTGCGATGCCAGCTGTGGGCGAGGGATGAAGACCCGGGTCGTCTTGTGCGCAGGCCTGGAGAATGGTGTGTACAAGGAGTACCCTGAGAAGCGCTGTGAAGCCTCTCAGAAACCTGAGGAACAAGCTGCCTGTTTCAGGAGGCCATGTTCAACATGGTTCACTACCTCCTGGTCTCAGGTAGGGCTCGGGGTGGTGGTGAAGGGGGAGAGCAGACCTCATAACCCTGGTTGGTGGAGCACAGCCTGCACTGAGGCATTCTAGCAGCCTGTTCTGCTGAGGGCTCTGTTAGGTCTGGATGGGACCATGAGCTTTGCTCTTCTGCAGACCAGGCAGCAGGTGGAGGGACTGATACATGCAGGCTGGAGAAAACCTTAGAGCATGTGGATTATTGCCTCAAGCAAGAGCATGCACCACACTGCAGGCACACAGGATATAGCTGTGTCTCCTCCTCTGCCAGGAGTCAATGTTCTGTGTTTTACTGCTTTTCCTTGATTTTAACTGGTGAGCGTTCAGGGAATGGGAGGACAAAGGAAGCTGAGCCTGGCTCACAGCAGCCATTTTCTCCATCTTCTATCACAGCATCAACCCTCAAAGCAAAAACAATTCCAGGTTGCATTAAAGAGATGAAAGCAAACTCCTCCCTTGCTCTGCCCCAACCCTGGCTCGGGGAGGCTCTCCTCCAGCAACAAAAGGGGAGCCTAAGTTTGAGATCAGTGTGGGATTTGACGCAAACCTCCTCAAGAACAGTCTCCACAGTAGGCACCAGGAGGCTTCATGGAAGAACAAACGTCGGAACTGTAGAAAAATAAAAGAAATGCCTCTCACAATCCCTTTCCTCTCTCTCAATCTCGACAGTGCAGCAAGACATGTGGTGCTGGTGTGCGACTCCGTGAGGTGAAGTGTTACCAGGGGGAAACGCTGGCTCAGGGCTGTGACCCCACTTCCAAACCAGAAGCCAGGCAGACATGCCAACTCCAGCCGTGTCCCACAGAGGCGCCAGGTAAGTCTGGGAGGGCAGGGAGGGAGAGGAGCCCTTGGGAGCCCTTTGCTCTGTCCAGCTCTCTGCTGGGGAAGCACATCTGCTTTTTAACCCCTTCTGTGGGTGCTTCTGTTCCCCAGAAGAAGACTGTGAAGACAAAGCGACGGCCAACTGTGTGCTGGTGCTGAAGGTGAAGCTGTGCTCTCACTGGTACTACAGAAAGGCTTGCTGCCGGTCATGTCGGCTCAAGTCACCCTGACTGCTGCCAGGCTGTACTTCCCTTCCAAGTTCAGGGGCAAGAGCCCCCTTGAGCCAGACTTTACCACTTGAAGCCACCCCGCTTGGCTTGGCTGAGGAGCCAGTCCCTGTAGACCAGCCTGCTCAGCGAGGAAGGATTCCTAGGACTTAGCCATCACATTCCCTCTCCACCAAGAGGATTTTACACAAGACAAACCATCAGTTCCTAGAAAGCTACTGAGAAGTGAGTTGGGAAAGCCTGTCCCTGCTGTCATCTCTCTGAAGATCTCTAGTTGGAGGTGGTGGGGCGCAGAGGCCAGCCCGCAGCAGGGCCCAGACGACTGCGGCCATATCTCTGGTCTGCCCTGCAGAGTCTTCTACTACAAGAATGATTTCCAAAACACACTGAAAAATCTTGTGTCACAATAAAGAGCTAAACTGTAAAACTGTGTTTTTGGGATGCATGTACCTAGGCCAGAGGCAAGGGAGGAAGAGGGATACAAGAGGAACAAAAACAAGGAGCAGGAAGGGTGGGGAGGAAAAATCCTTGCACTAGTACAGCTTCCAGGCAGCACCGGATAAACCCCATTTTGTGTTGCCTGCCAAAGAACAGAAACCACTCCTGTTTTGTATTTCAAAGTCCTTGTTTATTTCTGACATTGAATTTGGACCCATAGCTGAGCAACAAAGAGAATAATAACAGGAGGAATCTGAAGTGGAAAAAATCTGGGATCCCTGCCCCTACCCTGTCCTGTTCTCCACTGTCCCCAAAAACCTTCTAACCCACGGTTGCATCTCCCATGTCTCCAGCCTTTTCAGACTCACCCATTTCTCTGTAGCTGTGCCAGACCCAGGGTGTTGTGTTGGCTGTGAGGCTAACCCTCATCTTGGCCATCCAGCTACTCTGCAACTGCCTTGCCAGCCTTGGCACCACATTAGCAGGTGACAGGTCACGCTTAATTTGCATGTAATGAAGATGATGATGCGGTTGCCTTCCTTTCACCAGAAGGGTGACCCGCAAAAGCCCCCTGTGTTATTCCCACCCTCCAGAGGTCAAGGCCTGGCATGTGCTGCCAGTGCGGTGGGAGGCCTTGCTGCATGCCAAGAGGTAGAGTTGGATGCCGGGAGCTGCTGTGCCCATGAGCTGGCAGGGCCGTCCGGCAGAGCCATGGGGGTGGCAGCCCGCAGGTCACCCTGGGACATACTAACTTCTCGTGGCTCCCAGCAGGATGAGACCTAGCTGAACAGATGCTCTGGTGGGAAAGGATGGCATTTACTGAGTTAGCCAAGACTTTTTTTCCAGTCACAGACTGTATTTTCAGGGAGGAGTACTGCCTGGATGGGAAGCAGTAGGAGCTACAGGCTACAGGCCAGTGGGATCCAGAGAGCTTTGCTGCTGCTAACTTTTTGTCTTCCCTCCTGCCTGCCCTTAGTGTGAGAGGACATTTAAAATCTGCTATCGCTATTTGGAGAATGGAAGGAGACTCACTAAAAGAGATGCAGCTAGACTGAATCTTAGGATAATGGAAATACAATGTCTTTCTGGGCTGGAGGTGGGGGAGACAGTGCATAACATTTGCTCAAAAGGCTGCATAAAATGCTGGCTGGGGCAAGGGGTTTGGTTACAAGGACTGTCATGACATTTGGCATTTGTCTGGCTCCTTTTCTTCAGGTAGTTTAATCAGAGGTGCCAAGGCATGAGCAGGTCCACAGTGTAAATTAGCCTTTTGCCTGATAAGGTAGACATTCAAGGCTCACGTAGCATGTGCCTCTGTGCTGAGACCTGCTTTTTTCTGTGCATGAATGGGGAGGTTAAGTCCAAATCCTTCTGTGAGCAGCAGGATGATTTCTAAACTGCAGTGGTGAAAAAAACCCCCACAACTCACATTTCTGAGCAGTCATACCTCTATTGCAAAGGCATGGCAAGCATTCCCTGCCATTGCCTCCAACAGCATCCGCATGGCTGTGGGGATCGTCGCTGTCTGGGTCCCTCCTCCCTGCCGTGAATGGGAAGTGCTCAGCCAAGTGGTCCTGCACCGGTTGCTATGGAAGTGCCCATGAATGATGGAGATGTCCTTTTAGTAATTTTTCACCTAATTTGATTTATGGAGGAAGAAGGAACTTTCCCACATTGATTTTTGCAGAAAGGCAGAGACGCTGGCCTGTCATTACCAGCCGCAGAGCTGGTGAACCCAGGTTCGGGTCTTGCACCCTCTTCTTCCAAAAGCAAAACAGGGGGGGGGACCCCAACCACCTGAACATCACTCTCCTGTGGGAGGTTGTGGGCCCCGCAAAGGAGGAGACATGACGCGGTGGTCTCTGCTGTTGCTGTTGAAAGGAAAAGCTGTCCTAAAGCCAGCCTTCCTCTGGCTGTCAGAGCTGTCAGGGTGGGCTGGGTAGGGGCTTTGAACACTGAAGGTGACCAAAACTGCGGTTATTTAGGGGTGCGACTCTTCCCGTAAGTAAAATCTTGCCATTTTTATGGGTCCAAGTTAAAATCACTCCTAAGAAAGCTCGTGAAGAGCAGCAGAGGTGGGGGCTTCGGCCACAGAAGGATGAGCCTGTGCCTTGCGCAGGTGAGCAGTTTTGTGAGCAACTTTGCCTCCTCCGGTGGTGATCTAAATTCATGTCTTGAACGTCTTCAGCAGGGAGCAGGTGGGAGACGGTGCCCTATCTTACACTCGAATGTAAAAGCTAACTGCTAGCAGCAACTAACGCAGCACGAGGGGAGCGGGACGATCCGGATCCTCCCTTCTTTGCTTTCCCATCGCCGAGGAGCGCCGCCATTCCCAGCTCAGCGGCGGGATTTGCCGGGGGCGGCAGCTGGTGGGTGGTCATGCATCGCTCTGTGTGCCGGAGGCAGTGGGCTTCCCCTCGGGTGGCTGCGTGGGGACACCGAAGGCCTCGCTCCGGCCTCGGGGAGTCGGGGGAGCCTGGGGTAATTAAATTAGGTTGTACTGTACATAGCCCTCATTAGACAAGTCCCTTCAGGAGATAGAGTAGAATAATAATGACACTTATGATGGGTTCAGAGGTGGCCGGTTTTAACGTCACCCTTCGAGGTCGCTCTCTCGTCTTCTCACCCGTAACGCGTAGCCGTGCCGGGCGGTTCAGCAGGAGGACCGTGCTGGTCTCAGGCCGGGTTTACGGGGTCTTCCCTGCGGGAAACCCCCACCCCACCCCAAAGAAAAGTGAAAAGCCCCTTCCCTCGAGCGGGCGCCGGCTGAGGGCACCCTGTGCTAGTGGCAATGGTGACTACACCTCCGTGCTGATAGCCCGCGGGTTCGGGAAGCTCTCGCGGAGGAGGCCGTGGCGGCTCACCGTGTAACTTTGCAGGGTGGCCATGTTGATGGGCGGCCCCATCTCCTTATAGCACGCGGGGGCATAGGCCACCCTCTCGCCCCCGTTGCGCACCATGTCGGCAGTCCGGATGTAAAAGGGGGAGCCGTAGGGGGAGCAGGTCGGGCAGTAGTTGTGAGCCCCGTGCTGGTTGAGCTCGCTGCGGGGGGCCACGGGGCTGCCCTGGCCATCCACCATGCGGGAGTTGCAGGCGTTGCACGTGCCGAGGTGCGAGTGCACGGGAAGGTCGGGCTCTTCCTCTTCTTCCTCCTCCTCCTCCTCCTCTTCCTCATTGGAATCATCTTTCTTGCAGCAATAGTACTGCGCAAAAGGGAAGGGGTTGTATTAGGGAGAGCCAGCCCTTATTATTCACAGCCGGCCCTGCCACATCCCTGCTCCCCTCATCCCTCCACGGGCCTTTCACTGCTCTGCTCCACCGGTACCTGGGTCCTGCAAAGCAGCAGAAGCCAGACAAAACCTGGACCAGAGCATGCTGCAGGAGGCAGCTGCCGGGGAACTCAGCCTCTCCCCTCCCAGCAAGGTTTGCAAGGGGAAGGTATTTTACCATGCCAGTCGGAAACTCCTCCAAGTAACCGCTGTGCTTTCCATCACACAGGCACTGCTGCATGGCACAGACTTCACATTAACTTTTAAAAAGCAGGAGGTTGTAGCTAGCCATTGTTGAAAGCCTCCTTGTTTAGTTTACAGGGGAAAAAAAACAACCCTAAAATTCTCCATCCGGTATTGCAAACCCAGCCAAGCCTACACCTAAACTAGCAAGTGCTGCAGAGTCTCAAAAGCCTTAGGGGACCCCCCCTCCATGCTGAGAGGAGGAAAGGACGTAACTCTGCAGCACCTGGGGGGGAAAGGAGTTTCAACTCCCTGCCCATCATGGGCAGGAAAACCCCCTTTGAGACCTCTCCCTGCAGCAGCAGTTCATCCCGAGGAGCAGCAACTCGTTCGTGGCAAGATGGGGGACGGCCACGGCGCTCACCTGTAGCCTACAGTAGCAGAGCACGGCGATGATGCACAGTAGGATCACCGTTGCTAGGATTCCCCCGGTGATAACAACAGTTCCCGCTGTCATCCGACCGATTCTCCATCAAACTCTGAAAGGCAGGGCCACAGGGACACGTGTTGCCCCGGGACATGAACCTCACCTACCATGGCTTTGTCATCACATCACAGACATGACACCCACAAGGCATCCCAAAATACCACATCCCTGTTCCTCCCTCCCCACCTGAAAAACTATCACCCAATATCATTCTCTTCTTAGCAGGAGGACACCTGAGATGCAGCATCACGTCCCCTCGCTGTCATCACTGCCTCTGGCTTGGGGTCTTTGGGAAACAACCCCATGGTCCACCTGCAGAGCCTCCCCCCTTGCTGAGCCAAAAGGGCTGATTTCCACCCTCCCAGCAGAAAATACAGCTTCTGCTTCAAAATGCAGAAGCAAACCTGGGTTTCCACTGGGAAAAGTGCTTCAAACTCTGCAACTCTGTCCGTCTGAGCCCAAAAGACGTGCCCCAGCTGCCTGCTGGGCACCGATGGGTCTAATGCGGGCTTGGCATGAGCCAAGCAGCCCTCACCACCGTCCCCGTGCCACGGGACGCGGGGGCTACTTACGTTCACTGACAGAGGTGTTGGACCTGGAAGGAGAAGAGGGACAGGTTAGCTGTAGCCTGCCAGCACCCCTCCCACATGTTTCCCCACTTCCCAAGAATTTGCTTTGATTTGGGACCTGTAGGAATCCCTTCTTCATGTCCTGCATCCCAAAGGGATGGGGTTCAGCATGTGCCTGTGCCCCTGGGAGCCTCCGTGGTGCAAAAAGCATTTTGGGTCCTGCAGGTGATAATGATCATGATGATTTTTTTTTTAATTTTTTTTTTTTCTTTAATTTGGAGCAGGGAAAGGAGACATTTCCCAAGCTCAGAGAAATACTCCGCAGGACAAGGCTGTGCTGTCAGTGGCTCGTGAATCACGCAGCTTCGCAGGGTGAAGGCCTGGCTTAGTCAGCACTTGGCCTTTTCCTCTTTAAAATTAATTACAGGGGAGGCAGATGCATCATTGCGCAAGCAGCCAACATTTTAGGTGCTGCTGGGAAAGCGGCTCTCCCCTCCAGGGCAGGCGAGCCCCAGTGTCCCCCTGCCACCCCATGGGCACCTACCCAGAAAAGGACAGGCAGGGCGTCGTGGTCACGCCGGCCCCGGGGCGGCCGGCCGGGACAGGCAGCGCTGCATGGCCATGGGGAGATGCCGGCAGCCCTGGAATGGAGGATAAAGAAAAGAAACTGCCACTGTCAGCTCATTCCCCCTGCCCAAGGGGGCTGCCCAGTGTTCCCATCCCCACTGATGCCACCTCTGTCCCTGCGGTGGGGCTAAATATATTGCTTTTTTAGGGAGACCAGCAGGAAAGGTGGGTGCTGCAAAGGTGGTTAAACTCAAACCACCAGGAAAGGACAATTCCGTGCCCAAACCCTGCAATTTCAGCAGAAGTGAGAGACTTGCATCCAAGAAGTGGGTGCACCCATCGCCCCCATAGCCCCCACCCTCCGTCGACACCTGGTGCAACCGCATTTCATTACCGGCCGATGTGTTCCTCTGTGCCTCATCCAGAGCAAGACTAATTGATAGGGCCCAAGTGCCAGTCAGTTGCAGCCGAGGAGATCTAATTACCCGCTCACCACGCAGCCCTAATTGCTGAAGGGAGGTGGCAGCTTCCAGACAAGACCTGCCCAACTCTGCCCCGGCCCCTCACTACTGCATGTGCTGGCGGGCACTGTGGGGAACCCTCCCCCAAAAAAATCACCCACCCTCTTCACTCCGCTGTAGTGATTTGCAGGATCCTGCCTGCCACAAATTGATTTTCAGCTCTTGGAAAGTTCCCGTACAGAGCCAAAAGGTGGGTGGGCATTGGATTTCCTCCTCCAGCTGCTCTTGCACACGAAACAAAGGAGAAAAAAAACCCTGAGAAATCAATAGGTCCATAACCCAGCTAATATCTCCATCCATCAGGGGACCTGACACAGTGCTAATAATAGACCCTGACATGCTTGGCTCCTGCACCCTGTTACCAAACCGCACCCTGAAATGCAACCAGGGATGGCAGGGAGGGACACAAGGGAGCCTTCGATGGAGTTATTGCCTCCCCGGGTGGCATCCTTAACAGGGAAAAGCTGATGGCAGTGGCTGGAAAAGGCAAATGTTGACCTTCGATGACCTCCAAGAGGGACGTACCACGTCCCAGCCAGGCGGTGATGGATGATGCAGGCGGCCGTCCGCATCCAGAAAACTTCATTTCATGGGAGCTGTGATTTGATTTAGAGCTCGGAGAGCAGCATCCAATTAGCCTGAGGTTTGGAGCGAGCAGGTGGCCTCGAAGAACAACCCTGGGCGGGGAGGGACCGGCCCTGGGGACCCTTTGGTCACCTCCAAGTCCGACCAGCGCTGCCTCGAGGACGGCTGGGTTTCCACGTGCCCCATCTCTGGCATTCCTGTTTCTGGGGCTGCCAGGATCAGCATTTCACCGGCCCCACTCAGGGGCCAGGCTCTTCCTTATTAAAATAGTGATTTTTTTAAAAAAGAAAAAAAGGCAAAAAATTGAAACAAACTAGAAGTGCTGCCTTTGCTCATCTCTTTGGAGGTGATGCTTTCAGAGAGGAGGAAGTTTCCTGCCCTCCTCCCCCTCCAAATCCTGCTCGCCAGCAGCCTAGCAGTTCATTTTCTACCCAGTTTGTGCCTATAAAATAGTTTGCTGCTCTTAAACAGCCTTCTCTAACCCATGGATCTCTTCTGCAGGGCTGCAGAAGGGGATGTAACGCCTCCTGGGGAAGGAGCAAGAGCCCCAATCTCAGGAGTAATTGGGGTCTTGGGAATTATAAGGTAAATAAGCCCAGGAAGGGGCAGGACAACTACTACAGCCTTTTCCAGCCCTTGCATGGGCCACACAACCACTCCAGCAGCCGCATCTCTGTCACTGGGGATCAGCCCATGTCCATTTTCCATCCGCCCTCCCCAAGCACATCCCAACCTGCCGGGAAAGGGGCAATTTGGGCTCCACTGGCTTAGCTCCCCCCCAGGCTCGGGTACAGCACAGCCCCATCACCCCATCCCGACAAAAGGCCATACATTTTTAGGGTTTCCCTAAAAGCCTCAGGCTGCACTGTGAGCCGAGCTGAGCCCTGCAGCTCCTGCTGCCGCAGCGGGATGGGATGCACAGGCATCGCAGGGGGATGCACGAGCTGAACTCCCTGGGCCACAGTCCCATTCCTCCTTCTGACTTAAAAAGGGAGTTCAGAGTTGCTTAAATACTTAAATACCCCACGCTGAGCAGACACCTTGGTGTTTACCACTCACCTGCTCCTGGGCTGCTCAGAAGAGTGGGCTATGACCCAAGGGCAGGTGTGGGGACCCTCCAGAGCACAAACCATTGCTGAATAAAATCAGGATTTATAGGAGCGGGGCTGCGTTACCCTCCCTGCCCCTTGCCGGCTTTCTGGAAGCGATTAGAGACACTAAGCAGCGGTGTCACGCTGTCCCTGATGGGGACAGGAGCTGGCGGAGGGAGGGTCCCCGGCCGTATCGAACTCCTCCGGGCAGGCGTGCAAAACCGCTTGCTGCAGGGATATATTTTCTTTAATTGATGTTGCCTTGCAGCGCAAAGTTATGGCCTGAAAAGTGACTCTGGGAACGAGTGGCATCTCAGGCTTCTATATTTATTCTCCTTCAATGACGTCCATCGCAGATTTGCACAGTTTGCAAGTCGATGGGAGGTTTTTGCCAGCTGCCAGCACTCTCAGAAAATGAGATGAGAAACTCCCATCCTTCCTTGCCCGGCGCATCCCACCAGCCCCGAGCTCACCCCCACCATCCAACAAGGGTCAAACCCTAACACAGGTGCTCGGGAGCAGGTTTTCGGCTCTGGCAGAGCACGGCTATTTGCCGTGAACATTGTGCCGAACCTTGCCGGCAAGTCCTGCCCCAGCCCGGGCTCTGCTCTCCCAGTTTTGTTCTGCAGCTCACGGGCTAATTCAATGAAATGTCTGCCTGGTAAATTAGCCCGGCCGCTGCCTTACCAGAATCATCTCCCAGGGCCTAATTGGAAAAAAACAGCATCAGGGGCTGCCTTTTCAAAACAGATTATGGCAGCAAACAACAGGGCAGCTCCCAGGTGGCTGCGGCCTGCCCTGCAGCGCAGGCTCAGCCCGATGGGATTCAGGTGGATTAACCCACGGTTGCAAACCTTGGTGAGGGCGGAGGACACGAGTAGGGTGGCCACCCCCCTCGCCCCAGCCATGGGGCAGGACAGCTGCACGGGGTGGGCTGAGGCCCTGCAAACTCGTTGCATGTCAGATGCTCTGTGCTGCAAGGCGTAAGGGGACAAGCCGAGCCGTGACAGAGCAGAAACGAGGAGACACCCACGCCCCGAAATGAGCCAAGCCCAATGAAATTTCACCCAAAGAGTGACAGCAGCACGGGATGCAAGCAGATGTGGTGGGGCTGCACCCAGCCAACAGCTCCCTCCTGCAGCAGTAACATCCCCAGGAGCGGCGCTGGGCTGGTTCTGCCTGAGTTATATTCAAGTTCAGACCCACCTGCAGACAGAAATCACAGCGGCAGTTGGGAAAACTTTGATTTCAGCCTGCTGCAGAGAATGCCAAAAAAGGCTTTTCCCAGCAGAAAAGGGCGTTGTGTGCGACCTGTTTCCTACCCGAGGTCTTTTCGTGCCATGACCCCTTTGGTGCCTCGAGCCGTGTGGGGTTTGGCCCAGCAGTTTTGCAAGGAAAACAGCAGCCAAAACCCTGCTCCTTGCTCCTGGCCACCGCAAGGACAGCCAGGTCGCAGAGGTGACACCGTCCCCCAGCTGAGGCTTCGGCGATTTGCAGTCAGTCATCAAAACCGAAAATCCCATGCCCTGCCGCAACCCTGCCCTTGCTTTCCCTCCACTGCCCGCACCGGCTCCCTGGGGCTCCCTGCCACCTTCTCCCAGCCCTCCTCCTCCTCAGCAGAGGGATGGGAAAGAAGAAGTACTGACAAGGTTTTTGAGACCAGCTCTTTTCTTGCAAAAGCTCTGTGGAAAAGGCAA